TGTCACAATTCTATAATATAACATTTTATAATGTGTACCGAATTGAAAAAAATAAAATATATATATATATATATATATATATATATATTTTATCATTCTGAGAATTCCTTAGCATTTTTATGATGTTTTGATTGTAGTCAGAAAAAGTGGTTCATTTGATCCTGACTCTTTCCAAATATTCTTGCAGTGTCCGATCGAGTGGTTCCACTACGGCTGCGTAGGTTTGACTGAGGCACCCAAAGGGAAGTGGTACTGCCCACAGTGTACGGCGGCCATGAAGAGGAGGGGAAGCCGGCACAAATAAATGCCAAATCCCCAGGCCAACCTCTCTGAAATGACTGTCCCCCTCGACTGAGAGTGTACATGTTACATCACCATGCGGTCAGGGTGTGTAGATGCGAGAGAGAGATGTTGATGCCTGAAAGTTGGTGTGGCTGCTGTGTGTGTGTTTGTGTAAATCACAACCAGGTTGGGTGTTTTTAGCTGGTGAATCGAAGCGCATACTGCCCTCAAAACTCTTCATCTCCATTAATCTTCATGGAGGCGGATGGGCAAGATGGTATTGAGAGGCCCATGTTTTTTAACATTCAAGACATTCCTCAGCTTGCCATGCGTGATGACACTTCGCATCTGGCAGCTCCTGCTAATTCATATCGGCATAGTATGGATTGACATGATGCAGACTGGGAGTTGTAGTCCTGAACTGCTTTATGGACTACAAGTCTCAGGACATTCAACTCTGACTAATCTTAAAGGATACTGATAAGAACGGATTACAACGGCAACAGTGACGCCTCATTGCTCGCCAGTGAAAATTATGATTCTGTGGGATTATTTGTGTGTAATGGATAAATGATGTATTGTGCTCCGCTTAAAGGACAGAATGTTTCTTATTTTACCGAGGAGCTCTTAAGGTGTACAATAGAACAAATGAACAACTGTGACCTGTGTGTATGTTTGTGTGTCTGTGTGTCTAGCATATACTGCGCTGATGTGGTGATAAGTTTTGCGAGATGTGGGGGGAAAAAAAAACAATAAAATGATCAAGAACTTTTGGTACATGCTGTCTTAAAGTGCATTGTAATAGATTGAATGCGTTTTACAGTTTCTTTTTCCAAGTAGGGACAAGATTAATATCAACCCTTCAGTGCCCTCTGATTTTAGTAGGAGCGTGGGAAGGATATGAGAACTGGGGAGACGCATTGAGCTACATTCATGAAACAAGCAAAATGCATTTTTGTATAAATCTTTCTTGAATCCATTCCTAAATTGTCCCACTCAAGCAAATGGGATAATTTAAGATGCCATTCTCTTCATATTAACTCATTTTATCCCAAACCATAAAACTCCATTTGTAACCAAAATTTGCTTTGAGTTTAAAGGGCTAAAAAATGTTTTGAACTATAGATGCTGTAAACTTTAAATTTAAAGTTCAGACCTTCTTGATTTCTTGTGAACAGTTTACATAGCTGGTGTAAATGAGCTGTTTAATTCCAGATAATAATTTCAAAAGAAAATGTCAAAGCTCCATAGAATGTCAGAAATACATGATACAACCACTGTAAATATTATATAATATTTTAGGGTCCAATAATTATGTCTCATAAATCATGACCACAATACATGTAAACGTGATAGTGGTCACACTGTTTATTTTGAAAATATATAATAAATAGATTTAAAAGTTGTTTCTTTAATTAAAATTAATAATATATATTAAAATTAATATTGTATATATATGTATATATACATCCCCCTTTTTTTTTTTTACTTTATTAGAATATGAATTATATTTTGTTTCGTTGGGCTTTCCAAGGAGTAAAATGCATGTGCTGGCAAATTGTTGGGATTAAATGGGTTAACGCAAACCAGGTGCGCACTTAAAAATCAAAAGAACAGACCCAAACATCCTCTTTTTTTCTAGCTTTAACTTTAACAGTAGGCTATCTACTACAGTTACTTCCATTTAAATAGCTATGAAAAGGAGCAGCACACATGGGTCTGGAAGCGCGTTTTGTAAAAGTTGAAGACTTTTAAAGGTTGTTAAAAAAAACAACGCGTATGTGCGCGAGAGACCGAATGAAAACATTGAGACGCGACGCAACGGCCGTAGTTGTTAGTCTCTCGCTCGTCTAGATTGACCGACACTTAAGACGGACTGTAAATGACCGCTAAACACGTCCTGGGTGAAAAGGCCTTTAAGTTTAATATGTTTGAGAAGCCTCGCCGAACCCACAACATTCGCAGCGGTTTGGTAAAGGGAGGCAGGCGCTCTCTGACAGCGCGCTCAGCGTGAAGAAGGCGTATCATTACTCTCAGTCATGAGGTTCCTCTGCTCGGGAGTGTTTTTAATCAACCGTGGGGCTCAGCAGCTTTGAGAAGAAGAAAGAAGCCTTCAGAGAAACTTTTCACTCTGTTTTGATACCCGGACCGTTCAAACGAGTCTTCACAACCAGCTCTGACGCACGTCGAATTCGCTTTTCCACGACCATGTCATGAAGCGTTTCTCAGATACGCGCGGTTTAACACAGCGCGTCGGATTCCTGAACTGCGCGTTTGAGCGCTTGTCGCTCGACTGCGCGCCGTGATCCGGAGGGATGATGTGGGGACCAAACGCACATTCCCAATGGTATGTGTCTTGACTCTAGCCAGGAACATTTGTGCAGAAGTGGGAATGCTTTTCCGTGGGATCTGGACGCTCCGCCGGAGGTGCTGCACAGGTCCCCTTCTGCTGCTGGGGATAGCGGTCGGGCTGTTTTACCACACTGTGACTGTGGACCGGGACAGAACTGAGCTCAAGTCCAGTCAACGGGACCAAAGGAACAAATCTGCGGTGTTTGATCATAAACTACTCCTCAAGAACCCAGAGAGACTCACATCTCTACTAGAAGCATCACAGACAGATAGTTTTGTAAGTACTGTCTTTATGTTTGAATGCTGTTTATAGTTTATTATTTCATCATTGCCTATTCTTCTTCTTCTTAGTAGTATTATTCAAGTATAAATAAATTATTAAAAAGATGTAGTAATTATTAAAATCCAAAAGTATTATATATAGGCTAGTTGGCCTACTCATTATCTTGTTTAATTAATGTATTATTCCTGTATTTAATTTTAAATTTAATATATGTATAAAATAGTTATTTGTAATACTGAAAAATATTATTATTGTGTAATACTCAGCATTGCTTTATTTTACTTTAGTTATTATTAATGTATTATTCTTGTATTTAATTTGAAATCTAATGCATAATTAATATATTTATAATGCTGACAAAATGTGAATATTTAATACTCATAATGTTACAGCATTAATTAGCATTTTATTAATGTATTATTCATGTATTTCATTTTAAATTTAATGTTTAATTAAAAGAGCTATTTATAATACTGAAAAATATTTAGAATATTTAAAACTCATTACAGCGTTAATTTATTTAAATGTAATTATTTATTTATGTATTATTCATGTATTTAATTTTACATGTAATGCATAATTAAAATATTTATTAATAATACTGAAAATATTTAGAATATTTAGTGCTCATAATATTACAATATTAATATTTAAATGTAATTAATTTTTTTTATTGTCATTAAAAGTTATTTTACATTACCTTTTTCATGGTTTGTTATCTATGAAAAATAACCTTGAAATTGTATTTCTAGGTAGTGCTATAGATTTCAAAACAATGGATGTTTTGCTGGACATCAGCTGTGCAACAAATCAAAATCAAAAAACTTTATTCTTAAGTTCTCATCACTTACAACTTGCTGTTGTGTTGGGATATTTATCTTCCCCTTTAAAAATATAGCCAGTGAGCAGCTATTGTTTATTTATGATGGGTGTATTTGTTGGGGTATTTTAGGAGGAGAAACTCAAGGCTGGACATTCATTGGTTTAAGAGAGCACATGAAGGAGGGCTTATTTATGAGTGCACAATGCATGCTTTCTTTCGAGCGCTGGGATGATTGATGTCTGTGGGGAAGTGTTATGTCAGTACGGGATAGAAAGATCTGAGGAGAGATGCTGGGAATAAAGAACGGCTGTCATGTTGGATGCCCAGGCATCTGTTTATTTATGACTTCTGTACGAGGAGGTGGAGCATGTGTGCAAATCATGGAAAAAGGTGAGAGAGAGAGAGAAATTGGAAAACAGATTTAGGGTCAGTGAGGCAGAAGATGAGGGCAAGAAAGCAATGAGAGGTGAGAGAGGTTTAGTTTTAAGCTGGGACTGCGGCAGTATGCATTCCCATAATCCCGCACTAACTAACTCCTAGCAGGAAGTCAACACTGAGAGCCATGACAGCTGTCCTCAATCAGCTGTTAGTGAAACTTACTTGAGAGTGTGTGTGTGTGTGTCAATCAGCTGTTAGTGAACCTTACTTGAGTGTGTGTGTGTGTGTGTGTGTGTTGAGTAGGATAGAGTTATCAGTCTGTGCGACCATCAGTGGCTCTCTGATGTGTCTGGAGAGCAGACTGTGTCTCGTGCTGCCATATAAAAAGTCATAAACACGTAGGTAACAGAGTTGGGCAGGAAGTGAAGCATTATATGTTGCATTTGTGGGCATCATGATTGTGAGTGTGTGGGAGTTTTTATTGACGAGTTAAGGATTCTGGGCATTTGTTTGGTGTTTTCAGCCTCTCAGCAACAGCACAATGTTTGTTGTGTGAATTAGCATAATGTCATTTCACATTAACATATATTCATAACGTTCATTTGAAGAAGATGCCTATTCCCATGATTGCTGTGCGTACTATGAAATTTGTGAAAAAGTTTTCCCATCCCGCAAACCATTGCTGTCTCGTTGTCCCTGGAGACCATTGGAGGATGTTCATTCATGTTAACAAAGTCACGTCTGTCTGTGCTTTTGGACCGCCTGGTTCTGATCCAGGATCAGACAATTGCATTCACTTTCAGCTGATGAACTTCTAGTGTTTACAAACACGCACGGTGAATGTGAATAACTTCTTTGACTGCTGCCATATGTCAGTCTAATATGAACCTCACTATGTGTTTAGACATCACACTTTAACAGCCAGTAGGAAGGTCGTAGTCACATACTTATCTCACACAGTCTACGCTTTTTTTTTTTTTTATATATAAATACATATATAAATACATACATATTTTTTTTATATATATAAATACATATATTAAATATAGATTGATTTTTATTCTTGATTTTTTTATTATTATTATTATTATTATTATTGTTATTATTATTATTA